CAGAGAAGAGAAAAAAGTAAATACAAAAAAAAAAAAACAGCAACAAAAAGATTACACGAGTTACTACTTCTTCCACCTCCGCTTTGAACACTCCCCCTGTCCCTTTTTGTCATTGAAGTACTCCCGCAGTAAGCATAAAACATTTGTCCATCTCTCAATCTCGCAACCAACCTCTCCAATTCTGCATTTGTCAACTTCTACAATTCTGAACTTCTCCAACACTCAATCTTTCCACCTCTCCAGTCCTCCCAGTGCACTTGAATCTGTTTCCCTTCAATCTACTCTTTCGCCCCCTCTCTATGCAGATAATGTCACGAAAAATGACTTACAAGTGTCTCTCCCTCTGTCTCACTCATGTCCCTCAATAGACACCATTGTATTTCGCTTTCTTTTTCTCACCCGCAGCAATTCATCAAAATGCAAATCTCGTAAACAAAAACAACCAGAAATCTTACAGCAAAAAAAAGATAAGAAAATAAGCAAAAAGGGTAGAAATAAGGAAGCAAATTTAGGTTTGTCGAATTTTAGATGCCCTTGAAGTTAGAAGAGCAAAGCTACATAGACTATTATATTTATGAGGATTAAGAATATAAATAAACTTCTGCACATTAAGAATAACACCGACTTCAATAAAGAGTATCCTAAAAATCGTAAAGCGTAGTATTGACGCGGAGAAGCTAGTTCTTCTATAAGATTCAGAGCTAAAGGGCTTCCATGGCTTAGTCCGTGCACGGGGGCGGGAGGATTTCATGGGTATGGCTATGTGAAATGGGGAAGCTCTGGGGAAAGCTCCCCAGAGATCATAAGATGATGATTATTGTTTATTAAGTGTCGGCACTGTCATACAAATTAAAAGGAACTTCTCATTTTTATGGCCTGACGTTTTCAACTTTTTCATTTATATTTTGCGCACTTCATTTTTATACCCGTACTCAAAAAAGAGTTAAGGGGTATATTAGATCTGTGGTAAAAGTGGATGTGTGTAACGCAGAGATGGAAACGTTTCCGACCCCAAAAAGTATATATATTCTTGATCAGCATCAATAGCCGAGTCGATATAGCCATGTCTGTCTGTCCGTCTGTCTGTCTGTCTGTCTGTCTCGATGAGCGCCTAGATCTCAGAGACTATAAGAGCTAGGGCAACCAAATATGGTTTCCAGACTCATGTGATATCACACTGCTACAAGTGTATTTCAAAATTTCGACCCGCCCCCTTCCGCCCCCACAAAGGACGAAAATCTGTGGCAGGTACATTTTAAAAGATACAATAAAACTAAACACGCAGTATTGTAGAGAATGCTCATATCTACCAGACTTCTGAATCTGAATCAGATCGGATCATAATTATGGCCAAAATGACGAAATTAATTTTCAGTTGCTTCCCCTGCCCCCTCCAGCCAACGACAACACAGCTCATTTTCCATCTCGCTCGCACACTCTGCCGCGTTCAGTGCGCGAGCAACCCCTAGCGGAGGAGATGTAGAATCTAAATGGTACATGTATGTATAATCTACATGTTAGATGTAGAATATACATAATATATGTAGATGTAGATAACAGATGTACCAAAAAAATGTAAAATGTAAAATGTTTTTTTTAATGCTAATATTCTAAAAAATCATATGTTCAAAAATGTAAATACGGACTGAGTACGGGTATAAGTAGAGTCGCGTCTTTAGAAGCGACTCACACGTTCCTTCTCGTTTTTACTCGTTTTGTTTTCTGGTATCTTTTCTGATTGCATCTTTGATGCCTGTGTGTGGTCTTCAGGTCTCTCCATTGCTGTTGCTGTCTTTTGTCTACAACTAATTTACACGCTTTTTCGTACATTGTTGCCACATTTGTTGTTGTTGTATTAATCATAAATATGTTGCTTGTTGCATGACGATGATGTATGATGATATGCTCAAGAAATATGGTTTGATATTTGATTTGAATTTTTATGGAGCTTCTTGGCATTTTTTATTTATTATTATTTAATTGCTTTCGGTGACAGGCGTAGAGAGAAGACTATAAATTTATTTTGGAAGTATGAAAGCTGCTTCAGAGTCACAGCCAATTGGCACTTTATATACGAGCATATATACGGGTATATAAAAATGGAGTCTTTCTTAATCTGCACAACTGCACTAACAGGGGACCAAAAAGCGAGAGAACAAGCTAGGCCCTTCCGTTTAAGCGCCAACCTCGTGGACCAGAAAAGGTTAATAATTATTATAATAACACCGAGTGAAAGGCCTGACATTTACCTCGGTTTCATCCGAAAATTCCTTGATCACCCAATCTGAGCCCTAGAGGGCGTCACCTGGTCTTCTAATAGAAAAAAAGAAAATATCCTTTTGGGGAAAGCTTTTACCAAAAAGTTCCCTGTAGGAACAATAAATTTCCTGTAAATAAATGACCAAACTAGGATAAAAGAAAATCCCAATTGAAATATCCCTTGCAGAAAAGGACATCAAAGCTCTCCGCATCTTCTGTTATCCTTTAGCAAAGACAGCAACCCACTCCCCATATCCTTGTGATAAAGAGAATTAAAGCTGTTCCTAAATAGTCCTTTAGCTATGGCGGAAACCATCTTTAAATATCCTTGCCCAAAACAGCTTTCCAGTATCCTTTAGCGGAGACTGAAACCCCCAGAGAATGTCCCTTTGTTCCTCCTGCTCAAGTGTGGAGGAAAATTCCGAAAGCCGGAAAAACTTTCCCTTTTTTGCTGGCTTGGTTCCGCCACTATCCATCAGATGGCGCCAGCACATTTTGGCATGCGTTCAAAACGTCGAGGAATTTCCGTGCCATTGCATATGGCTCCACCTCCCTCCCTACCAGCCCCTCCCTCACCATCCCACAATTTCTCCCTCATTTATTTTTAGAGACCAAAATACTCGTCCGTACACATTCGGCCAACTGCGGCTGCGCATTGAAATGCCGCTCATTAAAATGTGTCCGCATTGGGTGGGGGGCCTGAATAAATCAAATGAACGCGCACACTCGCGTATCAAATCGGAATGGAGACGAGGACTGTGGGTGGGCCACCCACCCATCCACTCATCCATCGATCGATTGGATCGTTTAATTAAATATTTTGTACACAATCGAGGGCCGGCGACTATTTTGCGACTATTTCTAATTTTATGATGCTCGCTTTTTACGGCTTTTTTACGACTCTCGACCATAAATTCATTCCAGAGAGCCCGCCTTAGAGCAGAGAGCGTAAATGACAAAAATATTTATGGATGTTTTTGGGCGTGATGTGGTTCTATGATCTGTCATTCACGTGTCACGCGGGGCGGGCCCCCCATTTTTCGAGACTTTCGAACAAATTACGCAGCCGCAGTGGAGTGCAAAATATTTTCGCGATCAAAACAAACAACGCAAATAAATAGTTTACGAAAATTATGCACACATCGAATTTGGTTAACAGTTACGCGTAGGTGGTCTCCCCTCCACTCCACTCCTCTCTCTCGCTTCTTTTTATTGCTGATTGTGGCCTCTCCTTCCCTACCCCGTCACCGTCGCTGCGTGTTAATGCTTTGAGTGTTTGCCATAAAACAGTTTTTGCATTCCAAGGGTTTCTTTTCGTGATTCTACCTCGCCTTCTCTTTCTTCTCCTTCTTCTTTATTCCAATGTGGCTACGTGCGTTGGAGCGTGTCCACCAGTGGAATGTAGAATGTAGCTTTACTTTACTTTTCACATTGATAAAATTCTAGAAGTTATTCATATTTTTTCGAGCTTTTACTGCCTCCTTCCCTTACTTTCGTTTTATCTGGACTTCTTTTGATAATAAAATCTAATCTTTAACCATCGGCCGGCACGGCATCATCAAAACTTTTGAAACTCAAAAACGGCAAACGAAAACTCTAGCAATACTCCTCCTTTTGGGCAATTAACAATCAGTGGAGTCTCCGAAAGCTTCTGCCCCATTGTTGGGGCAACCTTCTAAACCATGTGCATACATGTGTCACTCCTTCTGTCCCCGAAAAGCCACAAAAACAGAAAATAACACAAAAAACATTTCGCACTTTCAGAGCGGGGACCAGCAATTGCATTGAAATCGCATTATTAACGCCTGCTCTCAGTCTCTCAGGGCTTGCCGCTCCATTCGTGCCTGTGCCACCATTTGTGGGCCTCCCCATTCAATTCTCTTACCAAATTGGCAGCAGCCAAAGCAGCAGACTCCTGCAGCAGCAGGCAGTCAGTCGGTGTGAAAATAATCTGTTTAACGAGGGAGTTTTACAAAAGACCCAACAGAGAAGATGCTGCCACCGCCACTGCCAATGCCACTGCCACTGCCACTACCACAGAAAGGTGCAAGCGCAACAAACGAGCAACAATAATGACATTTGGCGCAAATGAATTTCCCCTTCCCTGCCCACTGAAAAGGCGGCGATGTCGTTTACCGCAAAAGGATATGACAGCCCCTCCACATCGGAGGAAACCCCCCAACCCCCCCGAAATGATCAGCAAATGGAAACTGAAATTCTCTGACAGCTTTTTCCACTTCTGCTGCTGCTTCCTCGTTGCCAGTTCTTTCGTTCTTATTGTTTTATTTTTGTTCTTTGCACTGAAGTTCTTTGGAGTTTCGATCTTTCGGTTTTGGGGGCTTTGGGGACTCTCCCCATATCCGATGCGACATTTCGTTCGGTCGCTGACATTAAAAGGTGGGAAAATGTCAAAGGAGCAGGCAGGAACTTCTTTTGGTTATATAAATAATTGCAACGAGCTCTGGGAAAACTATTCAACTTTTTGCTTGAATTTAAATAAAATACTTGCTTTTAATATTACTTTATTTTATAGATTAGTTTTGGGAACTTAAATTATTTTAATTGAAATTAAATTGATTAAAACAAATTAATTCGATTAAAAATTCAAAATTTCCCCACAACAACGGCCAAATTACCCTTAAAATTCCCGCTTCCGTCTGCGCACTTCGGCTACACGCAAACAGATGGCGCCAGTACTTGAATGTGGTGTTAATTTTTATTGGTTTTTCCTCTATTTTAAGTGCAATTTGGATTACTACGCTTCGGATTTGGATTAACTTCGCTCTGGAAATTGTGGATTAACCTCTCGATTAGTGGATTAACCTCTGGATTAGTGGATTACACTCTCTCGCGTCGTTGAATGGATAAACAAAGTGCATTTCCTACATGGATTACAAGCGAATAGCAGAAGCAGCAGAGCAGCGCATCATAAAAGGTAAGAAATCAAAGCACAAATTGAATGCATTGATCGCTTAACACAACAAATGCTTAACCCATGACACCACTGAAGCAGGTTGTGGAGGGGGGCGAAGAAGCAGGAGTACCCCTATTAATCCTAAGTGCTTCCTGTGATTTTATGTAAATTTCAACACGGGGAACGGAGGCTCCAAAGAGACCTCTCGACAGAGCAGCCAGCCAGCAATTCAATGTACAAATGACAGGTTGGCTGTGACACAAAACAGCAGCTTAAGGAAGATGTAAAGCCAAGCAACAATTTACCCCTACCATCCCCTACCCTCTCCTCTCCCACGGTTGCAGTGGACAAAAGACATTTTCATTTATTCATTGATAATACGCTAAAGGCACAGACACAGTCAAAAGGATACAACAAAAAGCAGGGAAAACATGCGACAAAACAACATAATTTAAATTTTGTGCATGCATCAGGGTTACCCCTGTACCCACTGTACCCCCCTCTGCCCCACCGCAATCGAAGTCCGAAACGAAAGAAAGACCAGGGCCAGGCCGTACCGTACCATGTCTTTTGGGCAACATGTTGCCGCAACACGCCATGAAATTCGCAAAAGCAACAGAAAACAGTGTCTTCTCCCCCCGTCATCCACTCATTCTTCTTTCTCGCTCTCCTTTGCATATCTCTGACTCTTTCTATGCTATGGGTTGGGCCCCTCATTCTGTCCGTAATACGGTAGCCAGGCTCTTGTTGTAGCTATTTTTATACGCTCTCCTAAGAGGGGTATAATGATATTTCAATGCAGAAAAGAGAGCTTGAACGATCTTCTAAGATAAATAAGTATATTCAGAAGCAAGACCGAGGGGCGCTGTTGCATGGCCCGTGATATGTAAGGAATTTTAAAAATTGATAGTTTAATGCATTCAGAGCATGAGAAATATATCCTAAAGTAAGTTTCAATGTCCCTATATGATCTATAAAAATATAGTTATTCAAGGGTATTAAAACCTTCGACTTTCCTTCTTTTTTACGTTCCCTTTTCTGGCCTTCGATTTGCTTTGAATGAAAATGAAATTATCGCATTATTAACTAGGAAAAAATAAGGAAGAAAACTCTGTTAAAGAGGGGAGGACACACACGTAAGGAAGCGGCTGAAAGTAGAAGGAAGAGGATGCTGCCGAGAGCTGCAAAGAGCAGGAGGCTAGAAGGAGAGTCTAGACAACACAGGCCAGGCCCTAACAAGATGTGGTCTAAACTCCCCACACTCGAAACGCCCCACCGTAGATACTTAACAATAAAATGAATTGTTAATTCTCTTGCACTTTTGTCCGGCCACAGAAAAAACCAAAACGAAATCTTGGCATGGCTTTTGGCTGCCTCTTGCCTCTTGTTGTAATGCTCAAGTGCCTTTCTTTTATCTGCGGCACAATCGCAAGAGCACAGTGCAACAGGCAGCAGCAACAGAGGAGGTAGAGAGGCAGTGCCCAGAGAGTAGAGGTGGGGATTTACAGTGGGTGTGGTAGATAGAAAATGGGAAAAAATACACATCAAATGAATGAATGAATGATAACTTACAGAGGTTGTATCCACAGAAGAATGCCTTGAGGAAAAAGTTCTTTAAATGAGAGTAGAATTTCCTGCATTTACCCCACTGTACCCCTGTCGCTACTCTGTCTTCCACTAGCTCCAAGAGGGAAACTCCTCTTCTTTAGGCTTTAAAGCCGAAATGCCGAAGAACCGAAACAATTGTTTGCGCGCCAATTGTCTCTCTGTCCTGTGTGTGTCCGGTCCCCACTTGTCCCACTGTCCCGCACAATGGGACTGACTCCGAGACTCGCTGCCTCTGCCTTTGGGGGCACCATTTGGAGCCTCAGCGAATGTCTTGTTCCATAGAATTTGAAACGGAAACATTGGAACACTTTGTTTTGGTTCTTGTTTCACATTTTACTCTGTTTCTCTTTTTTACCAAGTTTTTTCTTTTTATTCTTGTTTTACCAATTCTTTTTTGTTGCTTTTAGCAGTTCTTTTTTTATTTTGTTGTTATTTCTTGTATATATTTTTTGGCGTTTGTAAGCGCGCGCATGCGTAAGTCTCTCGCGGTTTTTGGGTTCAGTCACGCAATGGTCTGTGGATCGTTGGATCGGAGTCTCTGCGAACTCTCGTGGCACGTAACTGCAGCGCAAACTTTAGTCAAAATTAACAAGCCTCAAAACACAGTTTCCAGTGCATGCAAATTCGTTGTCAAAATAAAAGAAAAAAAACAAAGATATCGAAACAGAAACTGAAACCAAAAGTTGTGTCTGCAAGAGGGAGGGAAAAGACAGGATTGGGGTGGGGTAAAGGAGAGTTTGGGGAGTGTCTGTAGAGGGAGGGAGAGCTTGCTTTGGGCAGGCTGCTCTTCCCGCTTTTAGTTAAGCGATAAATGAGTTACTGACGTTCGAGCATGTGCATGTCCAGTATCCCAGAATCCAGTTTGGGATTGGGACTCCTCCTGTGCCTCCCTTTCAGAGAGAGATAGAGAGAGATATTTGTGGCTTCAGGGCAAGGCAGCAGGCGGCAGGTGTGCTAAGGTGCCTCCTCTGGAGCAGCAGCAACATTTCAACAGCCTTCAAAAAGCATTCTCAAGACATTCTCATATGTAAATTTATGCTCCAAGCGCGCGGATTGCTCCCCAGAGAGGCAGAAGTTGGGGGCGTACAAGAAGCCAAAGGGAGGGGGCTATAAAAGAGGCAGAAAGGCACAGATGAAGAGGCAGAAGAGGTGAAGGAATCAGTGGATGGAGTAGAAAAATTGATATATGTCTGGTTTTATGGTTAAAAAATCAACTAATTGATCCAGCGGCTAACATGATTTTTATCTCTTTTTGAGAACTTAATTATTTTCTGTTGGCCATTGAAATCGATATGGGAATATATATACGATACAGATACAGATATACAGATATATGCACATATCCGATATCTTAACCAACTTGACAGGCAAACAGATACACTGATACAGAGATACAGATACAGCAAAAATAAAATACAGACAGATACCAGAGCGGATGCGTTGGAATGCGAAGGTCTCTGTGGTTGGGTCTTGGCTTTTGAGTGGTTTCTTCGATTGGTTTTTGGGATTGCTTTCTGATTGGGAATGGGTTTGAAAATGTGTGCAAGGGGGGTTCCTAAATCCTCACCAGAAATTGTATTTATTTTGTTTAGTTTTGTAGTTTCTTGTCTGTTTTCTACTTGAAGATTTCTTTCAGTGTTTGCGAAAAAAAATAACATAATTTGTGTGCAAATTTATCCAAAAGAAGAAAACCAAACCCCATTACCCACCGATGGGTGTTGGGGCCAAAAAACCAATTGCCTTGAATGGGGGTCAGACGTGCTAATGTGCCACACGACGCATGAATGTTGTGCATGTGCCACAGCAGCAACAGCAACAACATGTTGATTCTTGTATTGACTGCCTTAAAAGATCGAAAGTTGTGGTGCCACACAAATAGGGGAGGCAGCAGGAAAAGAATTTATGTTAATCGAACGTTTAAAATTAATCAATATGCGCGTCTGGCTGCCAGTAGTTATCGTTATCGTACCAAATTGGCAATGGAATTAAATTTCGATTAAAAATAAAACAAAGAAAAACAAAGGATGGGCAGAAATATAAAACAAGGAAACAAATGTTAAAGCAAAGTAAAAACAGGGGAAAAACCGAAGCAATCACAATGCAAAAGCAAAAGCAAACACAAATAATGCTCGCATTACTTTTGCTCCTGACCTAAACACGAAAAGAAACATATTTCCAATCAAAGAGAGCAAACACACTCTCTTCCTTCCAGTGAGAACCGTTTTATTTTTGGCGCCAAAATAGCAGCAACAGAACAGCTGTGCGCGACAGAGATGGCAGTCGTTTTAAGAGTAAAACAGGATAAGAGAAAACTCTCTTGAAGCAGCTGTTTCTTCATTCGGGGTGGAAACTAGCTCTCTTAAGGAAGCGCTCTCTTCACTCTGCTTCTGCTCTGGAGGTTTTTTTTTTGGAACCATTTGCCGTCGGCAAATCATGGCCGCCTTCCTGTTTTTCTTTCCCTCTATTGTTCCATGTGTTTCTCTCACTGTGTGTGTGTGTCTGTGTGATCAATGGGAATTGAGGTGCTTTGCTCGGCCATTATTCATTTTTCCTTTGGAACAATCAACGCCACAGAGCCCCCGCCTCCACCTCTGCACATTCGTTCTGCAAAACTTTTTCAAGTTCAGGCGAGAAAGAGATAGCTAGAGACGATGACGACGTCATCACCTTGCCATTTGAATTTTGTAACTGGAAACTGATGATGTCTTTGATTCAGAATTGTTGTGGAAATTGTTTTTAATGGGTTTTTGAATAATTTTGGAAATAATTGTTGGTTGTGCATTTACCGACGGCAAATGAATACTATGGCAGAAACCAGTTAACACTTCCAATACATCAAAGATAAATATTTTTAGAAAATTATTTTTGATTACACTACTCAACACGATTTTTCCTCAAGGAACAAAACCAACTTTTTATTAAAGATTTGGGGCTTAGAAATGGTTTGATGATATTTTTTTTTTTTTCTATGGCAGAACTTTTTTTTGCAGAATTTTTTAAATCTGGTATTTTTTTTTTTAGCTTTTTTCAGAGGTAGCGATAGTTTTTTTCACATAACTTTAGTATCTTACGTCTGGTTGTAAAGAACTTTGCTATTTTGAAAAGATAATTAAAACAGCTAGAAGTTAAGCCCAAACACTTTGTGATTACAGCTTACCATCTGGGAAATAGAAAGCATTGAAATGCAAAAATTATGATTTTTGTGCGGTATTTCTTACGAAATTTTGACTTTAAAAACTCAGGAAAAGTCGAAAAAAAATTATATCTTGTGTCCTTTTTTTTTTGTGTATAGGTGCGTTAATTTGGCGTCCTTTAAGGTATCGCTCATTAAAATCTATGGAGAGACTTTGGAGCTAAAATTCGTTAACCAAACCTAAAATATGGAAAAAATGAACAAAAAATACCTTTTTGAA